CATGCAGACCCACTTCCTGCTTCTCAGCCTTGGGTGCCCGACCTCCTGGCTGCACTTGGGCAGCACTCATAGGTGGCGAGGCCCCCACCCCGGTCGCCCTCAGCCTTCAAGCTCAGCGGAGGAAAACACAGAGTGGATGGGGGGTCACTAGGCTGCCACCGACTGCCTGAGAAAGGCAAGTTCTTCTGAGAAGGCCCGCAACTACCCTCCCATCTTTTCTGGGGACCCTGCAGTTAACAGGACTCCATGCTGCTGCTGTTTGCCGAGAAAGCCTCACCCATCACCGCCCACACCCTGCCACAGCCTCTTCACACACATCGGCGCTGGAAAGGTTTCAGCCCAGAGTGAGTGTTTTGTGGCTGCAAGATCGTGAGTCTCAGAACCCCCCATGAGAAAGGGGGTTCATCCCTGAGGGTCATGGGGTCAGCTTTTCCGTGTCACTTCTAATGATGGTTACCAGGCAGTACTAGGAAAAGTGCCACTTCCTTAATTTTCCGATGTCATATGGTAATTTTGCATCATTTCATTTATTCTTTAGGGTTTGTGGTTAAGCTGGGGTGAGTAGGATAGACGTGGCTGGGACCGATTGCCTTGAACCTTTCTTCCTCTTCGATAGTTCAGAAGTTTCTCTATGATCCCAAGGAGAATTGCTTCCCATAGATTATTTGTAAAGCATTCTTCTCTGTATTGAATCCTATTTTCCTACTGCCTTTCACTAATAGTATAGATGTATCCCCTTGGGAAAAAAGACTGGCCTAAGGGTGGCAAAAGTGTTTTGCGATTGGTTCTAATGCACCCAGCAGCTCTGCAGAAGAAAGGCCTGGCAAACTGCTTCCAAAAAGATTACAGCCAAGAAATTCCGATGGAGCAGTTCCACTCTGTAGTACATGGGGTCACCGTGAGTAGGAATCAATTTGATGGCACCAGATTTTGGTTTTTAAAGGCAATAAATAATACCTCCCATTTGAATATCTTTATAACCATTATACTATTTATTCCCATGGATTATATATATTTTTTGATTTCTAAATTTTATTGTGGTAAAAAAATACAGAGGACAACCAAACACATCGTGGGATTTGTTTCTTTGGTTTGGAAGTTGAGGGTCGTGGTTTCCTGGGACATCCCGGTTAACTGGCCTAATAACGTGTTTGTTGCTTCTGTTCTGCCTCCATGTTTGTGGAGCGGTGCCTGGGGTGTTAAAAGCTTGCAAGCAACAGTTGGCCTCTATTCACCTGGAGCAACAGAGGAAGAGGAGACTCAGGTAAGGGAGGAGGAAATGAACGTGTAGCTAACTGCCTCCATGAACAACTGCTTCCTGTGCCCCGAGACCAGAAGAAGTGGGTGATGACCAGCTACCATTACTGAACATTTTATTTATTTTTTTCTTTTTCCTTTATTTTATTGTTGTAGTTTAAGTGAAAGTTTACAATTCGAGTTAGTCTCTCATACAAAAATTTAGATACACTGTTATGCGACCCTAATTGCACTCCCTGTACTGTTCCTCCTTTCCAGCCCTGATTTCCCGTGTCTATTTAACCAGCTCTTAAACCTCTCTGCCTTCTCATCTCGCCTCTGGACAGAAGCTGCCCATTTAGTCTCTAACCCTAACCCTAACCCTAACCCTAACTTGAGCTAAGAAGCACACTCTTCACGAGTATCATTTTATGTCCCACAGTCCAGTCCAACCTTTGTCTGAAGAGTTGGCCCCGGGAATTGTTTTAGTTCTGGGTGGACAGAGAGTCCAGGTACTGAACATTTTAATCAAAGATTCTATAGAAGAATCTCGGTCAAAAGGGGGAAAATGCAAACATAATTTCAAATTCTTGTAGACTCTAGACTTTCTGGAGTCATGGAGTATCATGGATTGAATTATGTCCGCCAAAAAATGTGTGTATCAATTTGGCCGGGCCATGATTCCTGGTATTGTGTGGTTTTCCTATATGTTGTAAATCCTGCCTCTATGATGTTAATGAGGGAGGATGGGTGGCAGTTGTGTTAGTAAGGCAGGACCTGATCTACAAGACTGGATTGTGTCCTGAGGCAACCTCTTGAGATATAAAAGACAGAAGTGAGCAGTGAGACTGGGGGACCTCATACCATCAAGAAAGCAGTGCCGGGAGCAGAGCACGTCCTTTGGACCGTGGTCCCTGTGCTGAGAAGCTCCTAGTCCAGGGGAACACTGATGAGAAGGTCGACAGAGACAGAAAGACTTCCCCTGGAGCTGACGCCCTGAATTTGGACTTTTAGCCTACTTTGACCGTGAGGAAATAAACTCTTCGTTAAAACCATCCACTTGTGGTATATCTGTTATGGCAGCCCTAGATGACTAAGACATGGAGGCTGGATGAACCCCCGAAATTATTGTGCTGAGATAATCTTTAAACATTCAACCAAAAATATCGCCTGAGGTCTTCTTCAAACCAAACAGTGGTTTGGTTTAACTAGTAAAGAATGTGTGCCTTGAGCATTATGCTCTTTTAAGAACTATCTATATGGGATCAAATCGACAAGAGCAACTCGACAGATTAGATAGGAAGCTTAGTGGGCAGGGGGTTTGTGTTAATGGGCGAGGAGCAACTCAGAAAAAGAGGGTGAGAAGGGTTGCACAACTTGAAGAATGTCATCAGTGTCACTGAACCGTACATATAGAAACTATTGAATTGGTGTATGTTTTGCTGCTTATACTCTCAACAACAACAACAAAAAATAAAATAAATTACAAAAAAATGTTTAAGAAAAAAATACATTTATGTACACAGGAGCCCTGGTGGTGCAATGGTTAAGCATTTAGCTGCTAACCAAAAGGTTGGTGGTTCAAATCCATGGGGAAAAAAGAACTGGCAATCTGTTTCTGTAAGACTACAGCCTAGGAAACCCTATGGGGCTGTTCTACTCTGTTTCATGGCATTGCTATGAGTCAGAATCAACTTGACAGCACACAACACCACCAGCAAAATATACATAACCAAACAACTTGCCATGTTGAACATTTCCTCTATTTTTTTAAATTGTGGTAAATATATATGTAACAAATCATTTGCCATTTCAACATTCTTCATACGTACAATTCAGTGGCTTAGTCACGTTTATCATGTTGTATTTTAACCATTTTTAAGTGTACAGTTCAGTGATGTTAATTACATTCACCATGTTGGGCCACCATCACCTCTATCCATTTCCAACAGCTTTTCGTCACCCCAAACAGAAACTCATACCCTTAAGCAACAACTCCCCATTGCCTCCCCTCAGCCCCTGACAACCAACGTTCTACTTTCTGTCTCTATACATTTGTCTATGGCAGACACCTCATATGTGTGAAATCCTACAGTATTTGTCCTTTTGTGTCCGGCTTATTTCACTCAGTATAGTGTTTTCAAGATTCATCCATGTTATAGCATGTCTCAGAACTTCATTTCTTTTTATGGCTGAATAATATTTCATTGTATGCATATACCACATTCTGTTTATCCATTCAACTGTTGATGGACACCTTTTGGCTACTGTGAATAATGCTGCCATGAACACTGGTGTACAAGTTATCTGTTTAAATCTCTGCTCCCAAGCCTTTTGGGTATATACCCAGGAGTGGAATTGCTGGATCATATGGTAATTCTGTGTTTAATTTTTTGGAGAACCACCGAACTCTTTTCCACAGTGGATGCGCTGTTTTACGTCTCCGTTTTACATCAGCAATGCTCGAAAGTTTCAATTTCTCCACATCCTCATCAACACTTGCTATTTTGTATTTTTCTGATCATAATCGTTCTAGTGGTTTTGAAGCAATACAGTGGTTTTGATTTGCATTTCCCTGATGACTAATGATGATAAGCACCATTTCATGTGCTTATTGACCATTTATTTGTACATCTTCTTTGGAGAAATGTCTATTCAAGCCCTATGCCCATTTTTCTTTTTTACCCATTTTATAATTGGATGGTTTGTCTTTTTGTTGATGATTGTTCCATAGATTAGATTTTATTATTGGCATTTTATAGAGAGACCACAGGTCTTGCTCAAGGTCATGCAGGTGATAAGTCAATGAGCCACAGGAGGACCTAGCCTCCTGCTTCCCAGTCTAGTGCGTTCTCCTCTTAACCTTGACATTCAAGACGGTAGGAATGCTTTTTGGATCATGGCTGGATTGAAACATATACATTTCCGGAAAACATCGCAATTATTAGAGTAAATCCTCTCATACAACTCCTCTCATACATTTTCATGTTCACCTGAAAACTGTGAAGATCCGAAGGAAAAACCGTACTCGCTTTAGTTAAGCAAACTCCTTTTTACAGAAATTCTTCCAGTGTCTACCACACTCTGTCCTTGGAATCTTCCAGCAGGAATCCCAGCAACTCTCCTTCATTTCTTCGCGCTCTCCCAGGGAAGGCGTTGATGTGGCCAGAAGGAAGGAGGAAAGTGAAAATTCCAGAAGGAGCATCAAGGAGCCAGAAAGGAAGGGCATTCTTGGGACCTCATAGCTGGAACAGTGTTCCTTATGGGTGGCTGCTGGGAGTTTAAGAACTGTAAGCTCTCAGGGGTCGCATTTCATGTTAGGACTCAGGTTTCCTATCCTCATGCAGCCACTCAGAGCAAGCTGAGGGCACTTACCACAAGGAATGTCTGTGTGTGTTTAGAGTTTGGGCTCCATGTGGATCTGAAAGAAGGTGGGTCCATGCAAGTTTGTGGGGTCCCTGCTTTGTACCCAGCCCTGAGCTGGGCCCAATGGGGGCTGTACAGGAAGGAAGGCTACAACCTGAGGACCTTCTGTCAAGTTGAGAACACGTGTTCAAGACTAGAAGCTATTCAGGAACTCTGGGGTTATAGTGCTAATTGGGGGTTCAGGCCTAGAGCTGGGAGGATCACGGGGTTCGGAAATCTTCCAGGGACACATCCTCACTGTGGGTACCGCCAAGGGCCAGAGAAGGAGGCTTGGCTTTGCTCCTCCCCACAGGGCTGCTCATCATGACCACAAGGAAGGGAGGGAGGGGTTTCTAGTCACTCAAGAAGGGAACTACCCCACCTGGCCCTGTAGTGCTGGGGGATGTGGGAGAGGGTGAACAAAGCAGCCTGTGAGTATGGTGAGTAATGGGGGTGGGGTGCAGTATCATGACTGGAAATAGCTAGGGATCCTTGATTCAACTGGAATTAAAAAGGAGAATACGCAGTTCCAAGTGGCATCTGTCAGCCACGGGCCGCTCTGCCCACTCAGCGTCCTCCATTTTCTGACCAGCTCTAGGAGGAAGGAAACAGTGCTTTGGCGCAAAGAAAAGCAGAAGTGTGTCTTGGAAATTTGGCCCTCCCTTCTTGGGGAGGGCTGAAACCTGGTGTCCAGCTGGGGCCCAGGCAATTTTAGGTGACGCCTGCCTTCAAGAAATGACCCAGTGGGACCGGGCTGTGTGGCTGCCTTCAGCTCTGCTGCTTCTCTGGGTCCCAGGTAAGGGGGCATCCTGGACTGAAACTATGACTTGGGTGGGTGGGAGGCAGGGAGGGTGTGTGAGGGGGAAGGAAGCAAGGGAGGTGTCACATGAGGCACCCCAAATCTGGACTCTGACAGAATTCTGTCCACTGCTGAAGGACTGCACCCTTGGGAGTGAAGGGATGAGGGCCTCCTTCCGCACTTCCCTGACCTTGGATGAGACTTGTGGGGCATGAGGCACAGGGATGCGTGTGGAGGAGAGAATTTGTGGGAGGTTCTCAGAGGAATCATTATGGGAAGAAGGAAGGTGAGAGGCAGGCTGCCTTCTGAGTGAGTGGGTGGGAGAGTGGTAGCTCAGGGCACCTGAGGGGCATGTGTTTTGGGGGAGGCACCCTCCCAACGGTTCTCCTGTTGCTAGGTGTGGAGGAAGCATGGGGACTGGGGACAAGCAGGCCGTGGTGTCAGGGACACAGAGGTGTAGCTGGAGCAGCACAGGGGCTGACTGGTGCCTGAGCAGGGAGGAGCCCTGACATAGGTTTGGCTGGTGACAGCCCCTAGGTGGGCCTGAGCGCCAGGGTCAGTTGTCTCCAAGGAGGAGAGATGGGGACGGAGGGGAGACGGAAGGGCAGTGGAGGAAGGAAGGTGAGAGAAGCGAAACTGTGGGGAGAGAAGGGAGGAGCATTTCTTTGGTGAGAACTCACAGAAGATGGTGAATTTATTATATTAAGAGATTTGGTCAGACTTTAGTCATGATATATTATGCTGATTTTATGTAAAGAATTAAGAAGATTTCTCGATTTCTGTATTCTCTGCAGATGTTTAAGTAAAGTTGGGATTGTTTGTTCCTTGAAGGTTTAAAAGAATTAATTTGTGAAACTGTCTGAGTTTTGCCCTTTTTGGAGGGGAATTTCTTATTTGGGCTACATTGAAAAAAAAAAAAAAACTATTCCAGTCCAATTTTGATAATTTATATTTCCTAGAAAATCATCAGTTTCATCCAAGTTTATAAACTTATTTGTAGAGATTTACAAATTACCCTGGTTATTTTTCCTTTGAATCGTGTATTTGTGTCTTCTTCATTTTTTGTCTTTTTTAACTTGGCTACCCACTGGTCTGTCTGTATTATTCTTTGCTCCTTCCCAAAGAAAAATTAGTTTTTCAATATATGCATTATTTCCACTTTTCATGTTTCCTAATTCACCAGTGTCTGCTCTAGATTTACTCTTTCTTCTCTTCTCTGCTGGGTGTCCTTGTCAACTTCTTGAGTTGAACGATTAGCTTGTTTACCTTCCAGTTTTCTTGCTGAGTGATGGGAGATGAGACTTTGGGATCCTAACAACATTACCACACCAGAGGAGCATCCCATAGAGGAGTTACAGAAATAGTGAAAGTCCTAGCCCAAGAACGGCCTCCAGTCTCCTGTGTTTATGTTTAGGGAGATTGGGGAGGAGGATTGGTAAGTGCTGCTTGGGATAAAGCACAGAAAAGCCAATTAGGAGGCTTGTAAATAAGTGTTATTGTTCCAGGTAAGTGGGGAGGTAACACTGAAGGTTTTCTGACTTCCCTCTTATCTCTAAAGTATAAGGACACCTTCACAGGTGACATAGAACCTTTTGGGAGTCCTAGTGGTATTTTCACTCCCAAGTTTTCAGACGCAGGGTGTCCTCAAAAGGGTGGCTTATTTTTGTTTCTTCTGAGAAGAGAAAAGTAAATCTGGAGATAGAAAGAGAGAGAGAGAGAGAGCAACCAAAGAGCAGTCAGACCCTTGAGACAGAACAGCAGACAGGAAGCCATGGGCAGGGGCAGTGGGTCACCCAGATCAGGCAGAGGAGCCAAAACCTGGCAAAGAAAGATGACAATTACAGCCAAAGAGACGTATGAACAGAGTTAGGACATAGTGACCGGGAACAGCATCTTGGGTGAAGGAGGGCTGGGGACTGACATTTATGTATTAAGCAGTTAATATATGTCAATTTAAAAAAAATGTGTTTTTCTAGAGAACCACCTATTCATCCAGGTTTGTAAATATGTCTGTAGTGACTTTCTGTAAAATACTGCCTTGATTCTCTTGTATTTGTGATTATTTTCTCTTTTCTAGTTTCAAACGTGTTTGTGTTTCCTCTCTTTTGTCTTCTTTTGGCTAGTCAGAGGGTTATCGATTGTCATTAGATTGTATCATGTGATATTCCTGTTTTTTTTTTTTTTGGTTCAAAAACAATTGAAAATCAGCAATTTCATACAGTTCAACCTAGTATTATTTGGCAGGCATTTTACATCCATTATCTCATTTAATGCCCCCAAATGCCATGTGAGGTGTGCACAATTTTCACCACTTTACACATGAGGCATCTTAAGGCCAGAGAGAGTAAGTAACTTGCCCTAAGCACGCAGCTAATATGTGATAGAGCTGTTGTTAGTTCTGACTCATAGCGACCCTGTGTACAATAGAACGAAATACTGCCTGGTCCTGAGCCAGCCTCAGAGTCGTTGTTATGTTTGAGCCCACTGTTGCAGCCACTGTGTCAATCCATCTCGTCGAAGGTCTTCCTTTTTTTCACTGACCCTCTACTTTACCAAGCATGATGTCATTCTCTAGGGACTGGTCCATCCTGATAACATGTTCAACGTATGTGAGACAAAGTCTCACCATCCTCGCTTCTAAGGAGCACTCTCCTGTATTTCTTTCAAAATAGACGTGTTTGTTCTTCTGGCATTCCGTGGTATACTCAATATTCTTCACCAATACCGTAACTCAAAGGCATCAATTCTTCTTTGCTCTTCCTTAGTCACAGTCTAGCTTTTGCATGCATATGAGGCTATTGAAAATATCATGGCTTGGGTCAGGTTCACCTTAGTCCTCAAAGTGACACCTTTGCTTTTTAACACTTTAAAGAAGTCTTTTGCAGCACATTTGCCCAATGCAAAATACATTGTTTGATGTCCTGACTGTTGCTTCCATGGGCATTGATTGTGGAGCCAAGTAAAATGAAGTCCTTGACAGCGTCGATCTTTTCTCTGTTTATCATGGTGTTGCTTATTGGTCCATTTGTGAGGATTTTTCACTACTTAGATTTCTGTAAAGGTCACAACCACCTCAGGGCTTGGAAGGCCTTCTCTGTACCCATCTGCCGAGCATCTGGGCATCCAAGCCAGGAGAGGAGGTCCCGGGCCCCCAGAAGGGGGACTGTTGGGAGCTTATGGGCAGCTTTGGGCCACCGTCAAGGAGTATGGAGCCTCCATGGGTTGGGGGAGGGGCCCAAGGCTCTTGGAGAAGCCCCGGAGGAGGCAGGAACCTCACGGTGAAGTATTTATTGAGGGCCTCTGTGTGCCAGCACTTCTAGGCATTGAAGATGTAACGAGGACAAGGCCCCACCCTCCTGGAGCTGACATTCAAGTGGTGCCAAAGTCTGCAAGTGAAGGGATTTAAGGACCTGAAGAAGCAAGTGAAATGAAATAGTTCTACCTCTGGAGAAGAGAACAAGCCACGTGATCACAGAATTATGAGGGTGGTGGGGAGCGGCACTCACAGCTGCCTGGGGCACCTGCCCCTCGGCTCAGGGCAGGGCTAGTGTCCTCTACCTGGGTGGCCAGCATCAGCTTCACACATATAACCTTACTGTCTGTGCTTGGTATCTGAGAGCTACTGGGGAAAAAGGCAGACATAAATCTAGGAAGGAAAAAATGAGCGCTCTTGACAATTAAGTCTACAAGAGCTGGGCAAACTAAGTAAGACGCAGGATGAGATAAAGATTGTCAGCAGTAAAACTTCCGTGTGTGTGAATCGTTTTTGTTTCGTGCTCTCTCACTGCTCATTCTTGCACAGGATATTGGCGCTCTCCAGCCTGCATCTTTATCTCTATTAGGAGTGATACAACCTTCCAGGGCTCTACAGCTTTGGAAACTGTGAAAAGTTCATTTAAATTTTTTGTGCTTATGAATCTTTTTTGATCCACAAGTTTTATCAAGTGTGTCCAGCATTTTTGTGAAATGGATTTGGCAGCCCTGTCTGTGCCCGGGTTTATACTCCTTGCTGGGAGCAGATTGGTGTGTGGGCTGTGAGATGCTAGGGGTGGTTGTCAGACCTGGGGTGGCCTTTCTGGTGAGAGCAGGGTGCTTAGAGGAGGGACTTCTTATAGTTCTGGTGAGTTTGGAAATGGAATGAGTGAGGAAGATGGGAAGGGGCAGCAGGAAAGGAGACTGGGGGCTGGAGGAAGGGGCTACTGTGATCAAAATCTTGGTGTTGGAAGAGTGCCAGAGGTGGACACTCAAAATGTGTTGAGGAGGGGCTGATATGGAGTGGGGGGAAGAAGCATCAGGAAGATTGACCTCCGGGGCACTGCTGACCCAGGCCTGTCCTGGTGCGGAGCGTGGACTCGGCTTGTGTTTTCCAGGATGCGTGACGCTGAGTGGCCCCAGCACCGTGACAGGCGTTGTGGGGGAATCTCTGAGCGTGCAGTGTTGCTATGAGGAACAATTCAAGGAAAATGACAAATACTGGTGCAGAGAACAGCTGGCTCCTATTGGACCCTGTGACAAGATTGTGGAGACCAGCGGGTCAGAGAGAGAGAAGACGAAGGGCCGAGTGTCCATCAGGGACCATCCTGCCCAGCTCAGCTTCACAGTGACTGTGAAGAACCTCACAGTGAAGGACGGAGGCCAATACTGGTGTGGCATCAGTAAAAGATGGTGGAAAGATGGAGTTTATTCGAGAGATCCCACCTTCCAGGTGGTGATATCTGTGTTCCCAGGTGAGCCCCTCCCCCACACCAGCACCAGGGCTGCCTGAACAAGCTCAGGTGAGAATGGCTGGGGCAGGTCACAGGTCAGAGACTTGAGGAGAACTATGCATGCATGTGTGTGTGTTTGTGAGTGTGTGTGTGAGTATGCGTGTGTGTGTGAGAGAGAGAGAACGTTCCCAAGAGCAATCTGCCTTGCCCTGACTTTGTAGCCATCTCAGTGGGCCTGGGAGGTACTGAGGCAGGTGGGGTGGGGTGAGTGAGGAGGACCTGAGTTTGAGCCCCCAGGACAGTGGGGTCCTTGCACCTTCTGCCCCCCACTGGAGCTGTGTGGGATAGGCCCACTCTGAAGGTCTCCCTGTCATCTCCGTGGGCCTGGGAGTGTGGGGCCTCTGGCATCAGCTCTCTGGGACCAGGGGTCACACACGGACCAGCCCCCAAGCCTTCCGGTGCAGAAGGGACGTACTGATGGCCCAGCCTCAGCCAAACTCCGTGTCCTGATTGCTATCTGATCCTCAAGCCCAGGTCCCACCCTTTCCCCAGACTCTACATCACCTGCCTCGGGCCACCGAGTTTAGCCTTGACCTCCTGGGCTGCCCAGGGAAACCCCAGTTTCCTCTGACTTTGTACAAACCGTTTCTGTGAAGGGCCTGGCCACCAGCCTTGGTGTGGGCTCTGGCGAGCTGCAGTGACCATGGAGAAGGCTCGGCGGGTCCCCTGGCCACCAGTGGTGCTCGCTCTGCCTCGTGGGGTCCCCTTCACAGCACCTCCCTGGCCCTCTCCTCAACCTGGGATCCCCTCCTGAGACAGTGAAGTGCTCGTCCATCGGGAAGTCTATTCAGCAACCCCATTTTCCAGGCCACTTCTCTATCGGGTGCTGCCATTCAAAGGAGTCTCAGACACCATCCGTGGCCGAGTAGGGCAGAGAGTCAGGGAAAGGGACCATCGCAGTACAGACAACGTGTCCTCAGACAGAAGGACACCCAAAGTACCACAGACTCCAGCAGCAAGGGGGTCAAGACTCAGAGGGTGATGCATTGCTACATGGGGAGGGCTCCCTGGGGGAGCTGACTTCTCTGCTCAGTCTTGACCCAGGAGAGAAGTGGGTCGAGAGCTGAGCCTGCAAAGGAGAGAGAGGGAGAGCCGCCTGTGGTCAGTCCCCCGGAAACTCAGAGCATGTGGGGGATGGTTGACAGCCGAGCAGAGGGGCAGGCAGGGTCAGACAGGGCAGGTGCTGGGCTCAGTGGGGACTTCAACCCTTGACAAGCCAGATGTACAGCGCAGACACACAGCTCTGGCCACTGTGTGCTGTGCTCAGAGGGGACGAGACGGGGGTGGGAGAGAAGTTAGAGTTCTCAGCGGTGCCCCGCCTGCGTCAGCAGGATGGAATCAGGACTGTGGGCTTCCTGTGTCCTGTTTGGAAATGCTCCCTTGGCCCAGGGGGCCCTGGGGAGACTTTGGCCCCAGGCTCCTCTGTCCTGCCCCTTCCAAAGTGAGCATGCTGTGTGAAATCAAGCCACAAAGGTGGTGAGTGGCGGGGAGGGTCAGAGGAGAGGTCCTGGGTCTAACGTGTGTTTTTAGCACCAGCACCAATGTCAAGCACACCTACAAGTACCACGACTTCCACAGCCACAACCGAAGGCCTGCCTGTGCTGTCCATGGCGCTGGCCACGGCGAGTACCACCCACAGCCCGAGCAGCCAGGAGAACTCCAACCAGAGCCAGAGCCCAGGGTAAGGCGCCCCAGTCCCCATGACCTGGAGGTGGGCCTCCTCGGCCTGGGCCTCTTGTAGTGTCCAGACGCGGCCCAGTCGAGGGCGGGACTCACACCCCTGCAGGTGGAACCTCTCAGCTCCCTCTGCCTCGGGCCAGGTTGGACGCTCCAGGCTGTGTATTCCAGCTTGGGTATCTGAGACCAGCTGGACCTGCACTGGGCTTTGAGATGGGGCTCAGGCCAGGGAGAAGCTGGTATTGAGGTGGAAGCAATAACATTTACTGAGAGCTGATGATATCCTACCTGGCCCAGGCTAGGTGTGTTCCACGAGTGTTCTCATTTGCTCCTCACTGCCACCTGCAGAGTTATTATCCTCATTTTACAGATGAGTAAACCGAGTCTCAGAGAGGCTGAGCGATTTGCCCAGGTGCACAGCTCCAAGAGGCAGGGCTGGGCTTCCAACTCAGGTTTATGTGACTCCAAAGTCTTGGATTCTTCCCTCTAAACTGTTGTTGGTCTCAGTGGCCATTGAGTTCATTCCTACTAATGGCGACCCCATGAGTGCAGAGTAGAGCTGTGAACCTTCAGAATCAGATCACCAGGCGTGTCCTCTGAGGTGCCTTTAGGTGGGTTCGAACTTCCAACCTTTCAGCCAGTAGTTGAGCACTTAACTGTTTGCACCACCCGGGGGCTTCCCTTTAAAATTCGCCAACCCCATGAAGAATCTGAAAAAATCTGTAGACTCTCTTCCCCTAAAAATGCCTGTGGTCATGAACCATTTCTGGGATCCATGGATGCTGAAGCCCTTCCCTAGGCTTCCTGTCAACCAGGAGGTACAATCTTAATATCAGACATGGCGAAAGTCAGGCCCCAAACACGCCACTTCCAGATGTTGACACTGCAGATATTAACACACAGGAAAAGCTAGGTTTTATGGGGTCTGAAGCTTGTACAATTTCGTGGGGGGCATCTTTAATAATAAAAAAAATTAGAAAATAATGAATACAAACCTAGGTATGAAAGAAGGGGCCCAAGCAAGTAAGAGACCCCAGAAGCTTAAGCTTCATTAAAAAAACCAAAGCTATAACTGTCAAGTCGATTCTCACTCATGGAGACCCCATGTGTTATAGAGAAGAACTGCTGCATAGAGTTTTCTTGGTTGTAATCTTTATGGAAACAGATTGCCAGGCCTTTCTTCTATGGTACTGCTGGATGGGTTTGAATGGCCAACCTTTAGGTTAATAGCTGATTGCAAACTGTGCGCCACCCAGGGACCTCTAAGCTTCACTAGCTTCACAGTAAATCGCTGCTGCTCATCCACGTGTAAATGGTGGAAGGACAAGATTACTGCAGGAATGTTTGCTATCACAAAAGATGGGAGGAAACTATTGAGAAGGAATAGTTAAATTAATTATGGTACAATCCATGCAATGGAAAGGTACACAGCTGTGAAAAAGAGCAAGGGGCTTCTTTATGTCCACCTACGTGGGAGATCTGCAAGATGTATCGTTATCAAGTAAAGCCAGAATACAGGTAGTCCTCGACTTATGATGGGTTTTGTTCTGTCAACCTCTTCGTATGTCAGTTCTTTTTTTTTGGTTTTCGTTATTATTGCTTTTTATTGACAGTATCTTTATAAATCCCATCTTTGTTTGTCTTTGGGGTTGGAAAAATTACATATAAACTTACAGACATATTTTAATGCATACATATTACTAACAATAAGATGTACAAAAAAAAGGCAAGTGCGGTTTGTCGTAACCTGAATACTTTGTAAGTCGTGGACTACCTGTAGTATGTATACTATACCTGCTTTTGTGTGAAATAAGGAGGAAAATAATGTACATTTATATTTGCTTGTATATAAAAAGTCCCTGGGTGGTGCAAATGGTTAAAGTTCTCAGCTGCTAACAGAAAAGTTGGAAGTTCGTGTCCACCCAGGGCTGCCTCAGAAGAAAGACCAGGCAATTTACTTCCAAAAAATGAGCCATTGGAAACCCTATGGGGCACAGTTCTGCTCTGACACACATGGGGTCACTATGAGTCGGAATCCACTTGGCATCAACTTTTTTTTTTGGTATGTGAAAAAGAGTCTCTAGACGGTTCTTAAGTCTCAAGCACACTGTGTTATGTGGGTGGAGGGGGAACTGGGAGGATGGAGATGTGCACAGAGAAGACTTTTTAGCGTCTACTTGTTTTTTGCTTTTGTTTCGTTTCATTTGACCTTATGTAGCTACTTAGAGACCCTATGGGGCAGTTCTACTCTGTCCTGTAGGGTCACTATGAGTCAGAATAGACTCGACAGCAACGGGCTTGGTTTGGGTTTTTTTTAATCTACTTAAAAGCGTGGGAAGGAAGACTGCCCAGCCCCCTCACTCTGTCCTGTGCCCTCCCTCTAGGCTTTCACTGCTGCTGTCCTTGCTGGTGGTCCTGCTGCTTCTGTTGGTGGCGTCCTTACTGGTGGTCTGGGGAATGGTGCGGAAACGGATAAAATGTGAGTTCTGCCCTCCACCTCCAGCCCTGCTCAGGTGCACCGTCCCTGACCAACCTCTCATCCTCCAGGCTCTGTGTCCTTGCTCCCCTGAATGGGCACCAAGCACACACACACCTCACACCTCATGTCCCGGGTAAGCCTAAAGGGCAGACCCAGAGGAGGTGTCCCTGGGTGTGGCAGGCGGTCACAGGCTGTGCGCAGGGCCCATGAAGGGTATCTCTCTTCTGCTTAAACCCACGTGGCTCCCCACATGCTGAGGATGGAGTCCAGGCCCCTCCAGGACAGTCAAAGCCCTCCACATCCTGGCCCTGCCCTCCAAGCTCTGGCCCTGCCCACCTCTCCTGCCGCCTTGCCTACCACCCCGTCTTTGAACCCCGGAAGGATCCATTCTCAACTCCTTGTACTCTGGCAAGAGCCACAACCTCAGCACCTGGACTATCTCCCCTGCCCTCTTCCCCTAGCTCATTCCTGGTTTGCCTTGCCGCAGAGAGTAGTTTGGGGGCACCTCTGGCCATACCTCTGTACCTCTGCCACCATAGCCCTTTTCACACTGGATCACCTGCCTCCTTGCCTGCCTCCCCCACCAGTCTGTGTGCTCCTTAAGGTCAGGGACTGTGACTCGAGAGAGGACTCGGCCTATTTGTTGAATCCTGGATTATTTAATATCTTCAGTCACAACGGGCCCCAGGCCTCCTGTAGACATCTCTCGCCTCTGCCCTCAGAGTAAAAGGCAGAGTTTGAAGGGGCGTCCGCCAGGTCTCGCCCTCAGTAAGTAGGTGCTCAATAAATATCTGATGAGCTAATTAACTCAGTGGAAGCACAGAGGAATGAATGAAGTGATGGCCTCTTGTGACCGGCCAGGGGCTTTGGGCTGCCCCCAGCAGAGCAGATTTCCTCCTAAGATGAAAGCGACAGAGTCTGCAGTTTGCTCCCTGTTCTCGGAGTTGGGGATTCCGGGAGCAGACGGCAGTCCCTGTGCCTTTTAAAGGCTGCAGTGAGATTGGGCAGGGGCGAAGGGTTGCTCCCCTAACCAGGAGGGAGCCAGCGCCTGCTGCAGGGGGTGGGGGGAGTGGGGAGCTCCTCACACTCTCACCTCCAGCCCCTCCCGTGGAGCCCAGCCTCCCCCAAGTCCGGCTCAGGCCTCTGGGGAGAAATTGTTCGCAGCAGATTTGTGCAGGGTGTGTAGACAGAAACCACTTCCTCTTCCGCTTCAGGCGCCCTTCTCCTAAACTGCAGCCCTGCGTCGACTCGCCTCCCTTGAAGGGTTTCCCGTTTCCCAGGCTGGTCTCATCTTGTGCCCTTTCACCTAGAAAGACTCTGGCTCATAAAGTAGGCTCCTCTCCTTTTAAAAACGTCATGTATGACTGTTGGAGACAATTAGAAAATTAAGAAAAGCACAAAGAAGGAAATGAATTACAGACAAACTTACTGTTGCGGAGCTGATTCCGACTCACAGCGACCCTACAGGACGGGGTAGAACTGCCCATGGGGTTTCCAAGACTGTAATCGTCATGGAAGCAGACTGCCACATCTTTCGCCTGTGGAGCAGCTGGTGAGGTTGAGCTGTCTTCCCTTCAGTTAGCAGCAGAAACTGCTTAACCGCTGCACCACCAGAGCTCCTTAAATTACATATAATAAATGATAAACAAGAATCCCACCACCCAGAGAAAAATCAACCCTTGACATCGGAGGTATGTCTTTCCAGTCTTTTTTTATGCCTATATATGCATATAGGGTCCAATGAGTCGGAATCGACTCGACGGCAGTGGGTTTGGTTTTTTTGGTTTTTATAGATGCATGTATGGTTTCTTTAAAAATCTGCTTCATACCACAGATCCTCTTTTAAATCTTTTTTTGCACATTTTTCCTGTGTTGTGGATTGAGTTGTGTCCCCCCAAAATGTGTGTCAACTTGGCTAGGCCATGATTTCCAGTATTGTGTGATTGTCCACCACTTTACCATCTGGTGTGATTTTCCTACATGTTGGAAATCCTACCTCTATGATGTTAATGAGGCAGGATTAGAGGCAGTTATGTTAAAGAGGCAGGCCTCAGTCTCCAAGATTAGGTTGTGTCTTGAGTTATTCTCTTCTGAGATATAAACGAGAGAAGAGAGTAGAGAGACAGGGGGACAGGGGTTGGGGGTGGGGAGGAGTGCCTCCTTTGGACCCAGGTCCCTGGGCTGAGAAGCTCCTAAAAAAAATGAAAGAAAACAAAACCCATTGCCACTGAGTCAATTCCAACTCTTAGTGACCTTACAGGACAGAGTAGAACTGCCCTATCAGGTTTCCAAGGAGCTGCTGGTGGATTTGAACTGCTGACCTTTTTGGTAGCAGCCAAGCTCTTAACTATTGTGCCACCAGGGCTCCAAGAAGCTCCTAGACCAGAGAAAGAGTGATGACAAAGACCTTCCCCCAGATATCGACACAGAGGGAAAGCCTTCCCCTGGAGGTGACATCCTGAATTCAGCCTTCTAGCCTCCTAGACTGTGAGAGAATAAATTTCTCTTTGTTAAAGCCATCCACTGGTGGTATTTCTGTTACAGCAGCACTAGATAACTAAGACACCCTGCTCTGGAATGCAATTTTCTAAAAATCATTGATAGCAGAGTATACTGGTGCACGGGGGCATTACCCTTTGTCTCCTGCTGTTGGGAAAGGCTTTCTCTTTAAGTGTCTGATTCTCCCTCTCCTGCGCTGACAGTCTCTGCTCCTGGCTCCTGAGTGTCCTTGGCTGTCTTCCCCATTGTCCCCCCTCCTCTCCCCTGAGCCAGATCGTGCCCCATGGCACTTACGAGTGTTTGCAGAACTAGCTTTGTTTGGCCCCTCACCTCCAGCTGGCGCCTTCCCATTCATTCTTTTGTTCATTCGTTCATTCATTCATTTGCTCACTCACTAATTCACTCACTCAACAAACTCTTGGGTTCCTACCATGCTTCATACCTGAGCCAATAGCCCCCAGGGCTGGAGTCTTTAGGGAAAGGTCTGTTTCCAGATGAATCCTGGGGATCCCACCCCTGCCCTGCCCTTGTTCTGGGATTTCTGTGCCTTCACCCCCTTACTTTCCTTCTGTCTCTTTAGCTGCTGAGAATGCAGAGCTGTCCCGGAACCCCAGTCAGGTAAGACAAGGCTGCAGCAACAGGAGCCCTGGGGGGCAGACCGGGGGCAGGGTGGACAGTGTCACCACCAGGGAAGGGGTGGGAGGGGAGGGCTATGCTTGGCCCCAGCCAGAAGAGCAAGTCCTGGGAGATCAGTCATGGGGCCTTTTCCTATGATATGTGCAGGGGAAGTGGAATGAGGAGGTTCCTCCCAGCCCGGCCACTGACCAGGGCAGCATTCAAATACAGCCCAGAGAGGCCCAGAGTGGGGGATGGTGGAGGATGGTGGGAAGGCTGGGGGGCTGGGGCACCCAGAACATGGAGGGAAGGGGGAGATGAATGCAGAGAGGCTGGGGCAGAGGCCCCTCTGGACTGGACCAGGGAGGGGCTTAGAGGACATCCACCCAGCTCACCTCCTGCCCGCCCTAGTCCCAGCTCCAGCCTTTCGAGCCAAGTGAGTCCTGCTATGTGAACTTGGAGCTGCAGACGTGCCCCTCAGGGAAAGCCCCAGAGCCGCGGCCTGACATGGAGGTGGAGTACAGTACAGTGGTGAGTGTGGCTCCTGGGAGATCAGCGGAGAGGGAAGAGGTAGGGAGCTGGCTTGGTGATCTCCTGAGGGCCCCATGCCAGCCTGGGCTCTACCTAGAGGTCTTGGGTCCTCTGTAGACTCTTCTGAGTCCTCAGAAAGGGACCCATGGCTGCTTCGTTCTCAGGGCACTTCATCAAGGGTAGCACAAAGGCTGTCTTGGGGGAGCCTGGCCAGTTCCTGTAGGCCTCCTGGGGTCTCAGTCTCCTCCTTGTAGAATGGAATAGGCAGGGTCAGCCCCTAGAGCCCCAGGGACCCTCCTGGCTCTGATGGCCCAGGAGAATGGTGGCTTGACGAGGTGGGTGGAGCAGGTGGGGGCACAGGATGGGGAGTCAGTTGTTGTTGGAACAATTTTGAGAGAGAAAGGGGCCAGGACAGTGGGTAAGGCTGGCGCTTTCATGACTGGGTCTCCCCAAGACCCCCTTGGGTGTCCTCCCCCATCGTAAGCTGGAGGTCCATCTTTCCTGGCCTCTCCCTGAGCCTTTGTCTCTCTTCACAGGCATTCCCCAGGGCAAAGCTTCATCACAACTCGGGGACATTTGTGCACCACAGTCAGTATTCTGAGATCACCAGTACTTCCCCCAGGAGGCCCCAAGAAGAGACAGAGTACAGTGTGATAAAGAAGACATAGGTCTACATTTCAGACCTCATCGTCTGGGGGGCTCCTCAGGCCATGAGAAGCCCAGGGACGGCCCCCCTTAGCCCTCACCATACTCCCCCTGCCTGCTCCCTTGATGGTGACCAACAAGGAAGCTGGGCTTCCCATGGGCTGTCCCTCTTGCATCGTCAGCCTGACTGGCTTCATAGGAGAGACCAGCAGGAGTGGGAGCTCTGGAGGAATGAGGAGGGAACCCTCCCATCCTGCTAGCTCTAGTTTTCGCATCTGTTTTTCCTGTCCTTCATTCCATCTGTGTATATGGAGGACAGGCTCCAAGAAAAGATGTGACTCACATAGGCTGGTACCTGCACATCGCTTTATAAATCATAACTGGTTGACCAGTTGCCGTTGAGTTGACTCCAACTCATGGCAACTCCATGTGTGTCAGAGTAGAACTGTGCTCCGTAGGGTTTTCAATGACTGATTTTTTGGAAGTAGATCACCAGACCTTTCTTCCAAGGCACCTCTGGGTGGAGTCAAACCACCGACCTTTCAGTTAGCAGTGAGCATGTTAACCATTCCTACCACCCAGGGATTCCCTTTATAAATCATAACCTCATAGACATGTCCAGGATTGCTTGGGAGGGGAGAGAGCTAGAAGAGGAGCCAGGAAGATGCAAAAGAAGAGATTTGTTCACATACAGAGGGGCCGGGTGGGGGCACTGAAGATCTTCATCTACAAACAAGGAAACTCGCCCATGGTTTCAGAATCAGTGGCAAGGTCCTCTGGACCCTTAGATAGATTTATTTTTAATATAAGAGACAAAAATAAATTTTAAAATGTCTTGTCAAGAGAGAAGAAAAGAGTTATTTAAATAATGCCTTCCACATGTCTGTGATCCTATAATAAATAAATTCCTGATTTTGATGTCAGAAGAGCACAGAGAAGCTTTGAGGATCCAGGGGGCTGGGGACATCCTGAAAGACGTCATAGGTAGGTGGAAGAGGGATAGTTACAGCTGCTTCTCTTCAAGCTGGAAGACACAGGCAGAGATTTTATGCTTGTTTAGAACAGCTACCTGGGCTCCCTTGAGCCTGCTGCTCCACCAGTGGCTCCGTTGAAAATCACGTGCACCACCCTCTTGGCTGTGAAATGTTTGTGACTTCCTTTCACCTGTTAACCATGTTTTGACCTTCTGTTTTAAGTAACTAACATTTAACAGCAAAGAATGTATTCCACATAAGTCAAGGGTTTTTGACCCCTGGTATTACAACCAAATTGTGATTTTGAGCCATTTTCTTTGGGATGTGGGCCCACAGCTTGCAGAAGTTTCTTCAAGAGGTAGGGGGCCCCCTAAAAGGTGGAGACACTGTTGTGTTTGGCATCTTATTTAGATTTCTAATGTGCGTATGCATGTGTGTGCCATTCCAAAGACTCTCTCTCTCTTTTTATTAATGTTCTGGAATGCAAAAGGGGACATGAACACACACACACACACAGTGCACACACCTACACACACACAAACACACAATGACCCAGTGTGGGTCAATACTTGGGCACAGCCACCATAAAATGGAATAATGAAATGGGCTGTCCTACAAAGTAGTGACCCAGCGATTCCTGGAAGAGTTCAAGCAGAGGCTGGGGGACCCCTTGGGGGAGAAGACGGAGAAGAGATCACAGCATACAACACACACAACAGAAAGCACACACACACATGCCATACCACACAACATACAATACACACACATACAACACATACACACACAGAACCAGGTTGAACTGAGAGAAGGGGCCAGGTGGGACTGGATGTTATCAGCATGTCAGCGGGTGCAGCTCTACAGGCCCCAGGATGCTCCCAGCTCTGCTCTGCAGCCTGGCGGAACCAGCTGCTGGGGCCTGGATAAAAGCCCCTTTCTCCCACCAGAAGGAAAGCAGTGGACAGCCATCTTCTTTGTTCACAACCCCACACAGGCTGATGGGACTCTGCTCCCCTAAGGAGGAAGTGGGGGAACATGTGACCACAAATGACAGATGGAGGGTTGGGCCCTGAAGCTGTGCAGGCACCAATTCTGTGCACTCCGGCTGACCAGAAGAGGGATGCAGAATAGAGGGAGGAGTGAAGGGGTGGGAATTCGCGGAAGACTGACTCCTGACTCATTTCTGACTCATCCCTGGGAAAGCCCAGGCCCAACCACAGAGCCATAACACAGCTTTTCCTTTCCTACGGTTGTGGCCCCGTTTTCTCCTTCCCAGGCGACAGGAAGGAGAGCTGAGTTGAAGCCCATTATCACTTGAGGAGCACTGTTCCCTTTTAAATCTAGAAGACTTAGGAATAAAGTCTTAATATTTTCTGTCACAATCATGGGTTTATCCCTTGAACCTAGAAAGGTATGATGAGTTATGTAAAACTTGAGCTGTGAGGAGCTTGTACTTCAAGCAGACTTCTGACTGCAAAAACAGGTTACTGTTGTCCTGGAAGATACTGACTTGAGGAACTGAGGAGAGGAGGCAACAGTCCACTTCTCAAGGCTTCTTAAGGGTAAGAAGCTTATGCTCACACAGGCCAAGGCGCAAGGATCCAGGAGGAATGCGATGAGCCAGACAACAGAGGGTAGATCCAGCCAAGCTTTTGTGACAGACATTTTGGTCACATCCTACCCAACCTCATTCCCTCAAGATGGCGCTGGCATCATTTCCAAGTGTTCATCCTTCCCCATATGACTCAGAGAAGATGGTCCTCTCCCCAGCCACAGGGTGGTACTAATCACCTTGTCGGTGATTGGTTTAAGGGTGGTCATCTGAGCTGGAGCAAGTCTGTAAGGGGAGATCTTCTGGGAGGGAACTCTGGGAAGGTTTTCCCAGAAGTCATTGTGTATGGATGTGCTCATTGTCTGCTACAGACATCTTGGGACTTGGGAGGAGAACCAGCCTTAGCATGAAGATGACGTTGAAATAACGAATGATGCAGAAAGCAGGAAGGAACTTGCATCAACAAGCCCAAAGGCAATCCCAAAGACCACACAAACCAACTAAAAACCTTAAGTGAGTAGTTACAGTGCAGGGCTTCAAACCAGTTCTTTCAGGTTCGAACCCCTGCTAAGAATTTGCATTTCTACCCCAGATATACTGAATCAGAATCTACATTTTAACAAGATCCCCAGGTGATTTTTATGTATAATAAATTTTGAGAACCACTGCTCTACTAGTGTTTCTCAGAATTAGTCCCTAACCAGCAGCATTAGCATCGCCTGGGAACTTGTTAGAAATGGTCATAACCCTGTTAAGGTGAAACCAGAGGCGTAAGCTAATGAGGAAGCCCCTAGAAAGAGGCTAGTGCTTGGAGATAAATTGCAGGGCTTAGGAGAGCATCAGGCTTGGGCCCATTCAAAGTGGAGAGCTGTACTTGAGACACCCACATAAGGCCGGAAGACTTAAAGGGTCTACACCCTTCGCAGACTGGGAATTATCCACTTGATCGCAAAACGGACATCAGAAAACACACACACATACCCACACACAACGAAAAACAACCCCGTCTGTTGCAGCTTCGGGTAGAAAAAAATAAAAATAAAAATGATACTATGCTCTTTTTAAGGAACCCTGGTGATGCAGTGGTTAAGTTCTTGGCTGTTAACCAAAAGGTTGGTGGTTCAAACCCACCAGCAGCTCCGCTGGAGAAAAGACCTGGTGATCTGCTTCCATAAAGATTACAGCTTAGGAAACCCTGTGGGGCAGTTCTACTCTGCTATATAGGGTTGTTATGAGTCAGAATCAACTCGACGGCACACAACAATGATATGCTCTTTTAAAGAATTATCTAGGTGAGATCAAATTGACAATTGCAACATGAAAGGCTAGACGGAAAGCTTAGGGGGCACTGAGTTTAAGATGATGGTAGTAAAATAAAGTGGAAAGGAATAGTGAGAATGTAACCAATGTCACCGAACTGGACATGTAGAAATTGTTGAAATGGTATATCTTTGGCTGTGTATCCTTTCACGGGAATAAAAAAAATTTTTTTATGATACTATTATCTATAGGGTCGCTATGAGTTGGAATCAACTCAGTGGCACACACCACCACCAACAACAATAGTATTCTCTGAGAATTTTTAATTAAGGGGTTGGAATTTTAATTTACACTTGCCACACAGTTACGGGACCCTAAGCAGGAAAATTAAATTAAAACAGTGCCATGTTTACATTGACCCTTAATGCCCAGCAGAAGCAAACACAAATGCTTTCTAGAGGAAATCATCCTCAATCTACAGGTTATATTTAGACAAATATGAGCTCCCAGTATAGTATTACCAAACAGAAGAAAACAAGTCACAATAAGGATGAGTCATTAGTACCAAAATAAGAGATTTAATTCTCCAAAGATTTCTGATATTGAAATGATCCGATGAAGAATTGGTTTGAACCCACTAGCCATGCCTTGGGGGAAAGATGTGGCGGTCCAGTTCCATAAAGATTACAGCCTAGGAAACCCTATGGGGCAGTTCTACTCTGTCCTATAGAGTCGCTATAAGTTGGAACTGACTCAATGGCAGTGGGTTTTTTGGTTTTTATAGGCTTAAATTGCATGTGGTGAGACAGTCTTTCTCCACCTCCCTTCCCCCCTTTTTTAAAATTGAGAACCCAAGCTGACATCTCAGAATGCTTCTGATAAGCCCCTTGGGGAAGATGGTAAAAGTCTCTTAGGATATTTGGAAGATTGACAGTGGAGCCACTCAGAGATGTAGTTGCCCAAAACGCGCAGCCCCACTCTTGATACGGGTGAGTAGGACACGGTGTGATACCCTTGACCAGGACCAGGACAAATCAGGCCCAGGTCAGCAAGTTCAGTCTTTCTGTCTCAGTCACCCAGGAAGGACTCCCTAAAAACCCATCAGTACTTGAGCTACTGGTCCTGGCTGAGGGTGACAGTGGTCCAGGTGCCCTAGGAGGCCACATTGATTGGATTCTGGCTGAGGGTGACAATGGTTCAGGTGTCCTGGGAGGCCACACTGGATGGGCAGTGGGGAAACAGCCTACATGTCTCTTTGGCCCTTATGGAGCTGGATGGACCCTGCCAGGCTGTAAACTTGGTAACTTTTTAAAAATATCAGCTTTATCGAACTATAACTTACATATAGTAAGACTTACTGATTGTAAGTATACAATTTGATGAGTTTTGGCAAATGTATACAGATGTGAAACCACCACCACACTCATGATATAGAACACTTCCATCACTCCAGAATGTTCCCTTGTGCCCTTTTGCATCAATCCACTCTCCCCGACTCCCTCACCTCCAGTCCCTGGCAACCACTGAGCTGCTTTCTGTCACTATAGCTTGCTTTTTCTCAAATTTCATTTGAAAGGAATCCTATACTCCTTTGTGTCTGGCTTCATTCACTTAGCACAATTCTTTTATGATTCATCCACACCATTGACTGTATCATTAGTTTGCCTCTTTTTTTTCCTGAGTAGTCTTCCATAGTATGGATACACCAGACTTTGTTTACCCCTTTATTGAATGATCGGTGTTTGGATTGTTTCCTTTGTTATCTTTTTAACCTTGGGTCCCCTTGGGTGCCCCTACAGTGTTTTGGACCCACTAGGTGTTCAATAAGGAGCCCTGGTGGTGCAGTGGTTAAAGACCTTAGCTGCTAATTGAAAGGTCAGTGGTTTGAACCCACCAGCCGTGGGAGAAAGATGTGGCAGTTTGCTTCTGTAAAGATTACAGCCTTGGGAACCCTATGGGGCAGTTCTACTCTGTCCTATACAGTCACTATGAGTTGAAATTGACTCAACGGCAATGGGAATGGAAGTGCTCAACACTGGTTTGTAGAGCAAAGGAATGAGA